TCCCAAGATAACCATCAGCCAGCAGGATAGGAGCAAAACCAATCGCTCCGTCATCCTTACAGGAACCTGTGGCTATAGTACAGGGCATGGAGCAAGCGGGACGCCGTTGAGACCGGTGGGCACTGAGGCCGTGTGCATGAGCGTGCACGCTGCCATTCTGGAAAAGAGCGCAATACATAATATCAATTCGGTTAGGATGAAGGGTGCTAGCGTCTATTGTTGGCATGACAAGCTAAACATAAAACCAACTGTCTATCGGTGCGCCCAACCAGACCCTTAAGATGAACAGCTCAAATCTTAGCTTACCAGGAGGTTAAATATACTTGATAAGACAATATGGAGCTGTTTATCAAGCGCAAATGTAACCCCGTCCCAAATCTTTTAGGTTCTGCAGCTAACTAAAGGTTTACCGATCTATCTATTGACCGCGCCGCGATGCCCGGACGATTGGGGGATCGCAGTGGTACAGAAGTTCCCCGACTGCTCGTTTATGTATGGCCCTTGACTTGCGTCCGCAGTTGTTTCAGTAGTTTCAGTCGTACAGAACGGCAGGCTACCACCGAAAAACCCGTTGGCTGGCGGTTTCCAGTAGTGCCATTAACCCATCTTCGCGCGCAGAAAACCTGCTGTCAGTGAGACCACAAGTGTAAAACGTGTCGATTGTCGAACTGAAATGAAGGAGGTGCACCTATTCTCTGTGTCATCTGCAGCTCCGCACATTTAGGCTTAGCAAGGTCCCCTGAAGGGCTTGACAGTCCTTTTACTGCCTGCAGTAATCCTTGCTTGGCTGCGTGCGTTGAAACTCGCTAAGCCTTGAAACTCGCGAAACGATGTTAGGGGGTGTTTCCACTTCGATTTAAGTCACGGGTTAAGGCTTAATGCGTCGGATAGGGAAGCATCGCGCGGATTAGGACGGATTTGGCGGATTAAGGTTGGCGGGGTTAATTAAGAGTTCGACGCCCGTATTCGCGAGTTTCGCGGATGAAATGTAGATTAACATGCTATCAAATACGCACATTCTTCCAATACTGCTGATCGTGCTGTTTAGTGCTGCTACATTTGCCGCCGATCAGTCTGACCCTGAAGATAACAACCTCAGCATGACATGCTATGCTAAGATGGACATATAACTGTACGTTATGCTTCGTAACCACTACCAACGGACATTCACTCGCATGCATGATGGCCGGGGCATACTTTATCCTTCGCCGCCACATAAGCCGCAAAGCCTTTTAAAAGCAGTAGGACTGAGGGGACAGCCCTGATTGACACCTTGCATAGATTCAAAAGGATCACTAAGCTCCCCGTAAGTACCACACGCAAAATCAACCTATCATCGCCTGCCGTCAGGGCATCGGGCATAGCCCCGTGTAATCCGCGCTCACGAAGGTGCTGTCAGAGAAGGTGGTGCGACACTCGACCAAAGGCCTTTCCAAAGTCAACCTGTCACACATAACTGAAGCCTAAGCGCTCGTCCACCGTACACAGCCAACGTAGCTGGGCGCACGTCAGCGACGAGGGCAGCATTTAGAGTATGTACCACTGTTCCCCTTCCTGTGCCGCCCGCTTCACCGCCGACAACGAAGGGCCGAGTACGGTGTGAAGTAACGGTAATCTAACGGTTCCCAAGATTCGCAAAACGGGGGAATTATAATTGGCTGAATAATCGAAGGGTGAGTGGGTGGGCTACTCGAAAGCAAGGAATCCAATTGATTTGCGCAAGCTGTTGCGTAATGCTCGCGTAATGCTCGGGTTCGCGTTTTGAGCCGCAGCTACGACGATCCCGCCAAGCTGTGACCCAAGGGTCCCAATCGTCTGCCATGCGCCGCCTTTGTGCATGGGCCATCTTTAACCTTTGCACCACCTGCAACCTGCTGATTCGAAAGAATCCTTAGAATGAGGTGACATATTGCGGGAGTTCTTGGGAGATTTGCTGGTCAACGGCTATCGCTAACTTATCACCAGATTCTCATCCGGCAGGGTCATGCTGAGCCGGATGCAGTAGCCCTAAAGTAGAACAAATTGCTGGCGCTGAGTCGCTATCTGCGATGGACAGCCGCCAACACACCGGTCCCATTCCCGTCGGGACCCTGCTGCGCGAGTCAAGGGTGTTCTGCCTGCCGTGAAGCCCTTGCATGCACGGCCATGAGTGCGGGATTATCCGCAAATTCCGGATAGATTATCCGCGCGTGATCCCCTACACATCCGGACTTCTTTCGGGGGCTTTCCCCGCCCTCAACCTGGTGCTGCTTGCCGAGTTGCTGCAAGCTGCCGGATGTAGATTGCGAAGGTAGACACAGGAACCTCCAGGAAATTTGCTTGCCTGGGGATCTAGAGAAAGTCTACCGATGCCGTTGCCTGCCCTTTCAGCACCCCCTCTCTGTATCTCCCACTTGTTCTACTTGCAACCATCCCGTGACCACTTTGTCTTCCGAAAGGGCCTCGCCCGATAGCGATCACGAGGGAAGCTAGGCGCACCGCGACTGGGGGGGGGGGAAATGACGATGCCTCTCCGGGTGGGAGAAGCGGTGCGCCTACACACCGACTGTCTCCAAAGGATGGCAAGATAGGGTCTGATCCTGGCCAAATAAACGCCTCAAATCTCTATCAAGCACCTTAAGTCTCTGTAATAAAAACATACCTTTCACACTTCCTCTCCCACCAAATGCAAGCTTCGTCTCACTTTGGACCCGTACAACCTTAGCAACCACCTTCACCGTACCCAGTACTTCTGAAAATACCAAAGATGTAATTTATTGTACTTAACCGCCATTGCAGTTCTGATGCCGACGTCTGAGGAATCCCAGAACACGCAGTAGGTGAACATTCTGACATCAGAAAGCTTCCTGTGAAGAAACCAGAAAAATCGCGGTGGGCTTCTCTGTCCGTCCGTGCCTCTGCCCCTCTCCATCTACCGCGCAAAGCCACCGAAAGTAATCAGGAAAGCGCATCCTTGTCCCCGCACAAGTGCTGTGAGCGAGTATTGCAACGTCGGAACCTTTGTGTCAACTTACCTCGGCTACCGTCCGGAATAATAACGCAATCCGAGCACCGATTCTGCCGCCATAAGTGCGTGGTAGCATGGCTTTCTTACTTTCCGACGCGGTGAACGACAGCTACAGTTTGCTAAAGGCTCCGCGGCCCAGCATGCAAGCCCTGATGCTGGATGCCATCACCCAGCAGGGCAAGCTGACGGAGCTGGTTCTGAAGGGGCAGGTGGAGCTGTCAAGGGTACGCATCTGGTGCATGAGATTGAGGGCATATGTAAAATCACTGATGCGAATTTCACCGTGCCGAATGAGCTCACATGTCGATAGGCGCACTTATCCGCATCTCGCTCGCCGTGCGGATAAGGCATCACTCCCATACGTCGTATGTTTGCGGGAACAGTTGTACAGGCATGACAGGAAGTAAACCTCAACCATCGCCTACACTTCCCACGCAACCCTTTCGACGCATGTTCCGGTGCATGACTGTGTGTATGATTGCTGTCCTTTCCTACTTATCTGACCTGGTGTTTAGGTATCCTAAGCTTGCTGTATGTGGCGTGCGTCACCACAACGAAGTCTGCCCGAAATACCTTCCCTGCCGGTTACCTACCTCATTATCCGCAGTTCCATCTGATCAATCTCACCACTCAGTGCACCTACTTAAAACTGATTGTGCCCACCCGATAGAGGTGTCCACGCTCGTGTTAATGGTTAATACACAACAACAATTTCATGCTGCCTCACTGAAAAGTGCTTCATCATCAGGCGTGCGGCTGTCATACAGTATCACAATTTTCCTGGCCCTTGCTGATTTCTCTATCGGCACATCCCACGCACCGATCTGCAGTCCATCGCTCTGTGTTTGGAGGTTCTTGGTTTGGGCACCAGTTCCCCCGACCGGCATTCCGCTGCCGCCCGGGCCCTAGTGAGCCTGGTCACACATCAGAAGCTGCGACCCGCCGTGGACAACCTGCTGGTCATGAGGCGACTTTGCCGGATCATCGAACTCACAGATTCTGCAACAGCACTAGCGGCGGCGGGGAAGGCGCTGTTTGAGGTCGCGGATGATGCTTCTTGGAGAACCAAGGTATGCGAGTGCGCGTGGTAGCCATCGCACGGTACGGCACACACGGTCAATACATATTAACTGGCAGAGCACGCACCAATGCCCCCGGGAGATCCCGGGATCGAGACCAGTTAAGGTCGAAAATCCTTCCAGTGGTGGAAGGTGAAGTGCCCCTAGTCGATGGAAGGTGGTGACCTGGGATACTTGCAAGCTGAACAGGAATGCAGTTCAGCCGCCGTCGGTCCGGCAGATTCCATTGGATGCTGGTGGTGGTTGCAGAACCTGGGCGATCCACTGAGAAGTTGACTAGGGTGGCTAGATGAGGGTGCTTCGAAATACCTGGGAGGTTGAGTCAAGGTGCAATCGCGTGCATCACGTGATGTCTGGGCTCGCTCACCTTCATGCGATGAAGTGGTCCAAGTGAAGAGCCCACACTACATGCATACAAATGCACATGCATTCCTAGCTCAATATTTATACACAGATAAATATCTCTGCCTGCTACCCGGTCATATTCGATGGAACAAGTAGAGCTAGCAATCAGGCAAGATCAACCTGCTGCACACACTAACATGAGTGTTCTGCACGCAGCCCCCGACTAACCCCGCATCCTGAATAATCTCTTGCATGCCCCACCAATTTGACATCTGTGCAGGGCGGCAGCACTGCCGAAATTCTTCGAGAGGCGCTTCTTCGCTGTGTGGACACCATCACCTCAGTTGCTGAGCAGCAGCAGAAGAAGAAGCACAAGGAGAAGCAACAGCAGCAGCAGAAAATGAAGCACAAGGAGAAGCAACAGCAGCAGCAGAAGAAGAAGCACAAGGAGAAGCGACAGCAGCAGCAGCAGCAGGACGCAATCGCGGGAAAAAGCTGCACTAGTACTCGGGAGAGCGGAGCGGAGCAAGCAGGCACTACGTCTAGCACGCCACCACTGTTCATGGAATCGGGTGCCACACCTGATGCGGACCAAATTGCCTTGGTGACCGCTGCCGCTGCCGTTCTGCGGCCCCCCGTGTTGCACCTGCTCAGCCCTGATCAGCTGCAGGAGGCATCTGGCGCGCTGGCGGCATGCATTGCCAGTGGCTGCGGCTGTGCAGAGGTACTCTCCGCCCTGTCTTCTGTGGTTCAGTTCGGACCCACGGATACAGACCGTGTTGCCGCTGCATGTGCAGCGCTGAACTGCGATGGCATGGTTGCAGCGATCTTTAAATCTGTGGCGGCCGGTACACAGTCAGCCAAGGCCGTACAAGCTACAGAGATACTGGAGAGTGAAAATGGCAGCAGCAGCAGCAGCAAGAGCGATGGTGCAGCTTGTATGGTGACAACGAAAGCCTTGGGTCGTACACCGATCAAGCTTACGACCAGTGCTCAAAACGCCCTGTCGTGTCTGGCGGCAACGTTGGCCGCCTGCGTGACGGCGGGCAGTCCACCACACATCTCCACAGCCACTAGTGATGAAACCATGGCAGAATTATTGCTGCCCCTTCTGCAGCTGGAACCTCCGGAAGCTATCCACACCTTGCGCACCCTGCTGCTCCTCATGAGCCTCAGCTCTGCACCTAATGGCCTGGCAAAAGCTGTAGCAGTTGCCTTAGCTCCTGGTGGCTGTCTGCATGCCATGTCAGGCGCTGTGCTGGCTGCCATCAAAGCTCTGCTAGGGGATAGTTCAGTCGCAGATTTCGCTGATGCCGCCTGTGCGACAAGCCTCCTGCTCCTCACCACATTATTGCTTGAGACGGGCGGAGTGACGGTGGAGCAGCTACAGGAGCAAGCAACAGGGCTGATACAGGCCGCAGTGGGCGTCGTTACGGGTGAAATGCCGGGACCAGAATGGCATGGGCTTTTCACCTCCGTGGCAAGCCAGGGTGATAGCAGTAGTTCTACTAGAAGGACTAGTAGTCCTTCTGTGCGTTACCCGGGCACGCTGAGGTCGGCTGCAGCCAAAGCCTTGTGTCCGCTATTGGAGTGGGTATCTGGGCAGGATACCAGCAGTGCTGGCCAGCCAATTATTGCCACTTTACAGCCGGACAAGGTAGCGGACGCACTCATTGCAGGCGTGATGTCATCAGCTGGTAATGTTAGCGGGAATGAGGGGATTTTGGAGCAACTGTGCGTCCTCACGCCAAGCCTACAGCTATCAGATCCGGGTCCACGTTGGGCAAAGTTCAGCTTGAGGTGGGTGCATATGAGATTGAAGGGGTATTTTGATGTAATTCCTGCACTGCGACATGTTAAGGAGTGGGCAGCATAGCACGCATTGAGATAATAATGAAGGGATGGAACGGAGGGCATGATAATGACATGCACCACGTGCATGCACGAATGGGACTATCCAGTATGTGTTTGACGATGGCGCAATGTCAGGGGTGAAGGTCCACTGCAAATACGCACACATAAGTCGTACATACTCCCGCACCAAAAAAAGGGTAATGACGGCTGGTGCATTGCACACCCGAACACGGCTGGCTGGGGCTGCTGCTGTACAAAAAGGCCAACAAGAATGTATCTGTCGACCATAAAAAGTGCCATGCGTAAGGCGGACAATAATGTCTCGCTGCATGCCATATGCCGTATATTCCATGCAAACTGCCCTGCATCCAACCACCCACATCTTGCCTCATGGAATGTGCAGGGACTTGTATACGCTCATCGAAGCCCTCCTGGACATCATGGTGAATCAAGCAGCGGATGGTCCTAACCAACACAAAGTCCCGCAGCTGGCGGCTGTGATGGCCCTGTCCCTGTGGTCAAGGATCCCCGGCATCCGCGGGGCAGGCTTGTTCAATTTCGATGATGCAAACGCCTTCTATGAATTACTCCTAAAACTCGTAACTGCTGCCCTCCAATCTGTCGCTTCCGCTGCTGCCTCCAACCCCACATCGGTGCAGCAGCTGTCTGACCTGGCGGGGGTACTGAATGCGGTGTTAGGCTGTCTACAGCCGCAACTGGCTCTCTCGGGAAACCAGTGCCTGCCGCTGTCACCAGCCCTTACAGAGAAGCTGCTTCCCCGCCAGCAGGTTACTACAGCAAGTATTGGGGTCGGTGATAATAAGGGGGTCAACCTGCTCCACCTTCGTTACGACTTCATCAAGCCTGCACTGTCGCACTGCAGTGGCACACAACGGTGGCGCAGTGCTTACAGTTCTCGCACCATTTATGGCCCTCGTCCAGAGTTTTCTCTGCAGTTGAAGTGGAACTTTGAGGTGGCTCCCCCGACCGAGGCATGGACCTCATTCGTTAACAAGCTTACAGAACAGGCACAAGGATCCAGCAGCATCGGCTACATTGATGGACATAAGACTGTTGCAACCACGACCGTTGAGCCTCTGTTGCAGGGACTGGCTGTGGCGTCCTCCCAGCTGACCGAGATGATTGGAAAGCAGCTGCAGCCCCCCAGCCCAGCTGGCAGGGAAGGCGAATGCGTACTGGGCCTGGAAACAGCTGCAGTTTTGCGGGCGGCAGTGCAGGTGGCGGGTAACACGGCTAAGGTTCTGGCGCTGTGTGTCCCGCCGCCTCTAGCTGACATCAACAAATGATGGGCTGGGCAACAACAGCCACAAGGTTTTGAAGCACCGGTCAAAGAGTAGATTGAATGTTCATCTGATATGGCCATGGCTGATGAGAGAAGTAGCAGGGATGATAAAGCCCTAGTCCTTAACCACCTAGTTCTGGTTGATGAGTTGGACCACCTAAACATGGAATAGTACGTATCCATCTGTGATCAATTTTGGTGGAGTTGGTGCAGTTGATGCAATCCAGGGGCGCTCGTTCAAGTGCACCAGGTGCAGCAGTCTATCTAATACTTTACCTCGTCTCTTGATATGAACTCTAGTTACAGTGTGCGCTTAGGTATGCAATTTCGATCGATGCATGATCACGGATGGTTGCATGCAGGAGCCCTAGCTTACGTATGTATCTTACGACCCCCTGAAAGCTGCCGCCATGTAACGCACCTGTAGGAGACGGACTTTTCCGCCCCCGATGTTGAGAATGAAATTTTGTTTTCCTTGCACTCGTGCAACCCATAACCAGGGTTCGCCCCGTCTTGACAGCTGGCCAGAAGAAGGTTCCATACCTGGGTGCCAGGTTATGGCGCCAGTGTTACTCTCTGTGTCTGCAACCGTCAGCCTTGCAACAAAATACCCACCCCATGATCACATGTTGCCTGCTACCGTTCACTAGGGTTAGGAACATCTGGTAAGGCACGGTCCATTGCCCCCGGGAGATCCCGGGATCGAGACCATTCAGGGTTGGAAATCCTTCTGATGGTGGAAGATGAAGTGCTCCCACTCGGGGAATGACTTGGTCATGGACGGGTTTTCCAGTCAGGGATCCGGTCATGTATGTGGTCATGGATCCGGTCATAATTTGTCATTAAGTCATGGATCCGGTCATGGATCAGTTTATAGTTTGCGTAAGCCAAGTGCAGGATATGACTGGTTGGGGTCATGAAATGTATGCAATTCATGATGTCAATTTATGAAAAATGGGACCGCGACCAGTCATGGCTGAACTTTATGACCCCATGAGGTCATACAGTTGGTCATGTACCTGCTCATTACTATTTATGACATGCGGAACATGACCAGGTCATAATGCGCATGGTATTCCATGACGCAACAATGCAGGCCATGACCACCCTGGCCCATGTTTTGCACTCATTCCATGAGTCGTTCACTGCACTCCATGACTATCCTGGCCCATGTTTTGCACTCATTCCATGAGTCGTACACTGCACTCCATGACTACCCTGGCCCATGTTTTGCACACATCCCATAAGGTGTTCACTGTGGGCATTTAAGTCATCAACCCATCAATCTGTGGGCTCCAGACTCCAAGTCTGCTATCACAAATAAATGTATGTACTCCACAACACTCCACACCGTTAAGGTGACAAACCTCAATGTTTCAGTGGATCACTCAGGTAAATCACCCACCAGCAACATCCTATGAAGTAAGCCGGATTACCTGCAGCTCAACTACATTCCTGAACCACAACTGCCTTCCACTATCAATATCATAACTATGAACTTCACTCCTTGCAGGTCTCAATCCGTAAACCTCCAGGGGCTTAAGTGTGTGCACTAGTAGTAATGCCTGACCCCATACATTTCTCTATATGCCACCACCAAGCCATCTATTAAAGGTCACAAAGATTGTGAACTCCATACTGCTGCATGCCTGCTAACCCACCGCCTTGCGCTTCCCCAGCAGTCTCTTCCTTGCTGGCCCCTGCTGGCCGCCTTTGTGCCCTGCTTGGCTGCTTCTTTCACTGCACCTGCCCTGGCAGCTTGTTTCACTGCAGCAAGCTCAGCCCGCATCTCTGCGATGACATCGTCAAGTCTCTCACCAATTGCAATCAGGTCCTCCAAGGAGTCACCCTCTGGCTCACAACCAGCTGGCCCCATAATTGTTTTGCCAGCAATCACAGCTCCTAGTCGATGGACGGTGACGACCTAGGATGGCATTGACTCGCGAACCGACCATGAATGGAGTAGAGCCGCCGTCGATACGGCATATATTCCGCTTGATGCTGGTGGTGGGTGCGGAATGAAGCGATCCACTGAGAAGTTGACTAGGGTGGCTAGATGAGGTTGCTCCGAAGCACTGGGAAAGGCAGGGTTTCGCCAGGTAGCGGCTACGGGTGAAGATATGCCCCCCTGCTCCAGGAGAAGTAACGTCATACCTGCGGTGTCTACATAGCAGGTGAGCTTGATATCATGGACGCGGTCGATGGGGTAGCCACGCACTCACTCTACCCCGGGTAGGATATACACTATGACGACGGGTGATCGCGTTACATCGCGTTAAATTCGCGTTACGAGGCTTTAACGCGAGTTTAACGCGATGCTAACGCGATGTAACGCGATTTTAAGCACTGATAACGCACCGGTTCGCTTGAGCGTATGGCATAACGCACGTCATCTTTATTCGCATGCGAACGAGCTGAGTAATTTTGGCTGGCAGTGCGTTAGCTTAAGCATCTAACGCAAACTAACGCAAACTTAACGCGGTCGTAAACGCGACCAGGTGACTTTTAACGCGAGCGTTACCTTACCTATAGGTGTAACGCATACGCAAGCGAATGTCATACGCGGCTGCGACTGGTGCGATTGCGTATGCATATGCGAATGCGGCGATTGATATCGCGAGTTTTACGCGACCCTAAACGCGACCAGGTGACTTTTAACGCGAGCGTTACCTTACCTATAGGTGTAACGCAAACGCAAGCGAATGGTGCGAATGCGTATGCATATGCGAATGTGGCGAATGAATTCGCGAGTTTTACGCGACCCTAAACGCGACCAGGTGACTTTTAACGCGAGCGTTACCTTACCTATAGGTGTAACGCAAACGCAAGCGACTGGTGCGAATGCGTATGCACATGCGAATGTGGCGAATGATATCGCGAGTTTTACGCGACCCTAAACGCGACCAGGTGACTTTTAACGCGAGCGTTAGCTTAGCTATAGGTGTAACGCAAACGCCTGCGACTGGTGCGAATGCGTATGCATATGCGAATGTGGCGAATGATATCGCGAGTCTTACGCGAGACCATGTGACTTTTAACGCGAGCGTTTCGCCAAACGCAAGGGATTGCGAATGGCATACACGACTGCGAATCCTGCGAATGCATGTGCTACCATTTGAATTTTACGCGAGTGACGGCGACTTGCGTGCGGGACTGCGAACTGTACGGCCAACCGTGCAATACAAAAGCTTTACAATAGCAGTACACGAGCTGTACAATGTGCAAAGTGCACCGCCGTTGCACATGACCTGCAGGTTCACAGCTGTGAACCACAGCACCCACTGCTTTCTTCATACATTTGAACTATCCCTGAATGACAGGTACGAATTCATAGCAAATCCTAACATGACCGATGCAACTCAGCCAGCAACTCTTACCATGAAAAAGGGTCCAACAGTCTAACGTCAGAAAAAATGGACACACAAATGTTAAGCGCATGTAAATGTACCACAATACAGCCACTATTGTCTTCTTATTAAAGCGCTCAATCCTCGCCTCCGCTGGTGTCATCTTCACGAACGACGGCATATATCTGCATATGAAGGGATCACAACAAATCATTGTTTAGGCAGGAACACATAGTTGTGAGCATGTTACGTACAATGACGGCTGTAGGTGTGACACCGGCATAACGTGCCTCGAAATAAGGCAATAAAAATCATTTAGTTAATAGCCATGGTCTTTGCACCCAGAGCTTCATACCTCCGAAACGCCGCTACGTGNGCTGCCACGTCCCGTTTGAGCCCGACTCTNGNTCATATCCTTACCACCATCCTTGCGCCTGTCCTATTCCTTGCGATTCTCCTGCTCGTGTCCTTGGAATGTAAAATGGCAAGGCATAATGTCAGTGTATGCACCTGCATGATGGCCACTTACTGCCGGTGCCGTCTAGTCCCCCTTTTCCTGCTTTCCCCTGCTTGCCTGCGAATGAATGGTGCGCCATTATAGAGGAAGAAAGACAGATTCTTGTTATGAAGATGCTAATTCATTAGGCTTTACCTTACACTGTCGTCATTGGAGGATCAGCGTGAGTATAAGAAATGCATACGCGCTAAACAACAAATTCAAGATAATCTTATTAGTGCAATGCGCGCAATGAATTACTGCCCTGAGGACACGGGCAGCACTGGGCCTTACGCCCAACTTACTCCCAACTCCCAACTAACCCTCTTACTTAACGCAAGCTCGCATAAGTTGTTGCGTCAGAGACAAATGCCAAAGGAGAAGATACCCCCTCTAACGGTTGAAATACTGAACCACCACGGCGCTTCGTGCCGAGCCGCAAGAGGGCCAAAGACGTGAGAGCTGCCAGACAGGCGCGCACACCGAAACTCCCGAAGCCAAACGCCTCGAAAGACCTCCGAACGACACCCCAGCAGCAGGGGCGGCGGACGCGCCACCTCTACGCAGGCAAAAGAGGGAACAAAATAAACGCAAAGTGCCAACAGACTGACCCACCGCCACCGACTGACGTGCTCATAGAGCTCTGGTGCCGACCAATAACCACGCGCCACACGATCATGCAGGACCGCGCCCCACGAATGGCGCGATGCATCCACTGAAAGCTCAACTTGGTGAGTACTGGTGAATAGCCGCCGAGCATTGGTGGGTAGGGATGTCCGCCCACCACCCAAAGTCACGTAACGACCCACGGGGCAAGCACACTCGACCATAATAACCAACCGGTTGCTTCATATCATCGTAACAATTGCGGAGAAATAAGAGAGCTGGAGTAAGGGCCAATTTGATGCTCTATGCAAAACTACAAAACTTAGCCAGCTCGCACTTCTGCACCAGACGCTGATTTTTCTTTGCCGTGATCCGCAACCCGATCGCCAGCCACCACAATTTTGCGAGCTTTTGCTTAGGCACCTCAAACACACCAGCTGACGTATTGACAGTAATGCCTAAGTGATACACTGACTGCGACGGCTCCCACTGGCACTTGGTGGGATGACATGACAAACCCAAAAACTCGATCATCTCACGCACCCAGCGTGCGCA